GGATACCATTGTTAAGTCTCTGTGTGCAGTTTGAAGGAAGTTGCAGTTAGTTTCACGAGCCATTGCTAACTAGCATTGGCGCAATGACTGGAAGTCTATGGGATCAGCTAACTGATTCCAGTCATTGCGCTATCCCTTTAACATCTGGGTATAAGCTCTGGCTCCCTTAGTGACCAAAGATGGTGGATTAATGAAGATAGTTCACTCAGGCCATTTAGCAGCTGGGTCTGGTCTGCTTAGTTAATTACTGTATATGAACCAGAAAAAAACACTGAGTGGGATGTCTTGCTTCATTTTCAGTCTCTGGAATGACTGTCACTTTTCCTTTGTGTTAGTCATTGGTCTCATTGTATACATTTTAATTGGCTGAAGGGAACTGAGTTTCAGTGTAATGTGTGTTCAATGAGATGCATTGGTCGATTTATAATACTGACTCCATCTGCTACAGAACCTATGGTCTACCATCTATTGCCATTTTCGTAGCAATTGTTACATGATATTGACATCTTGACATTAGGCCTACCAGTATACTACCAGTATTTACCCCTATCTCTTGAATGTGCTCGATGTGTCAGTGGGTACGTTTACATGCACTGAATATTCAGATTAATGTAATAGTTTGACTAAAACGTGTACAAGCTTTGCAAGAACAACTATTTCCCTAATAATCCTGTTTACATGGACAGATCTGAAATCAGGCTACCTGATAGGGACCATATTATTTTTGGGAAGCCTATTTGGACCGGACATATAAAATATTTATAAGATTCATACTTTCAGTTTCTCCGAACTCACTTCACTTGCACAAAAGATGGAGGCTCGCACTGCTGGTGCTAACACATGCACAGATCTAATACAATGCTGGAACTCCGATTAAGGTACATGTCCTAATATATTAACGTAGGTGTTTTAATCAGCGTATGCTTACTTCGATTATGACCTTATGCCGATTAATATAATCAGTGTGTTTACATGACTAATGCCATATTCGGCTTATTGCCATAATCAGTTGAATATAAATTATTAATTTGCATGTAAACATACTCAGTGTCAATCCCTGTTGATGTTGGTCTGGAGTCAACTAAAATGTAAAAATTGTCATATTTCAGAAATAAGTGTGCTACTGATACGTGTCTTCAGCATTGAGCATTGAGGTGCTCAAGTGCTCTGCCCTGAATTGTCCCAACCATGCTGCTAGTTACCCCACTGCCATTGCTCCATAGCTTGTCATGTTTCCTGTGGTAAGCAGTGAGTCACAAATTGACACAAAGATGGCGTCTTATATTTTCGTATACCAGCTTCAAACAGCTGAAAAATCAATATTTCACAGTGGTTTAGATGGAACAATGATTCTCTACAATATATTTTCGTGTTTTGTCACATAAACTGATATTAGGAGAACTGTTAGAATTTTTGCAACCAGGAAATGGCGGAGTGATTTCTGCACAGTGCACCTTTAAGTCATTTTTGACAAATTTGAATGTGTTATTCACAAGGTTGTAGAAATGACATGTTCAACTACTTAAGACATTGGCTCGATAAAGACACATTTTTCACTTCTGCCATTGACTTCCCAAACCCTGGTCTTTTCTCTCTCGTCTGCTTCATGAGGTGTTTCCGAAAGTGTTAACCAGTTGGAACTTTGGGTTTGAAAACTCTTCACTAAACTGTCAACTTGAAGTTCTAAGAAAAACACAACCTCGAACCCGATGACAGGTACAAAAATGATTTGGCTTCAATTGTCAACACAATTGTAACAAACTTGGATAAACCACAAACTTGCCAGAAATAAAAGATTGGGGAACTTTGTCAGTTCAATAACATAGAGAAACTATGATAAAATGTAAATATTGTATTTCTGCATTTCTGCAATGAAGTTATTGTATAGGATATAAGAAACAAAAGCAAACCTAATTATCCATGGCCTTTTCCACACAGTGGTCAATTATGTCACATGTCTGTACGGTCTAACGGCTGGCAGTTGTTCTTTGCTTGACATGTCATGACAACATCTCATCATCAAGTTTCATTGTCACACTCTGTTGCATCATGCCACGAAGCTCAGGAACATGAGTGAAGTTGTTGCGTTCCCCACACCTCGTCTTAACCCGCCCTTTCCTGTTTCAAGATACAGTGCGTCATTTGGATGTTTTGTTTGCCTCTTTGATCATCAAAGATTTAGATTCCTATTCAGTGGGGTGATGAAACGTCTGGGGAGCTATCGTACTATTGACACGTCTCTGCTTTTAATATTTCACTGATGTTGCCACAGTCAGGCTAAATGTTATATAGGGGGTGCTACATTTGACAGGTCTCCCCCTCCTTGCTCTTCCATTTCCTGTCAGAGCGAGATGATAGTATGGAAATGTGTCATGAAATGTTTATCTCCTCTCCATGTCAGACAGGAGTCAGATTTTGCAGCGCTGTTGTTGTTCTCAGACAACAATTACCAGATGTGACTCACGAGCACAGATTGCCAAGACTGACAGATTACTTTTCTGAGTTTTTTAATCTCTTCGGGGCTTTGGAATTCGTTTTTGAGGAATGACTGACCACCAACTCAAATGACACGACTGACAGTGAAAGGCCAAGGTCTTAAAGAAGCTTGTCACCAGACCATGCAATGCCCATGACTTCTCGATACAGTCATGGGTATAATTTAATTCAATAATTGAACTATCATTTAACCATTATCATTAACAACAAACAGTAAAAGTGCTGTATAATGTCTTCTGTTTACCTCTGTGTCTCCGCAGTTACCGGCACCATATCTGCAGCATGGAAGCCGGCTGTGTTCTGGTAAAGGAGGTCCGCCCGGAATTCCGGTACTAAAGTATTGTTCCGGAAGGACGTTGGGAAATGCCACCTCTCTGGTCAACGCAGGGGAACTCTGTTTCCGTGATGATATTAAAATGGCTAAGTACTTTGATACATTTATGTTGTGTACTGCTAAAATAATGTTTGTATTTAAAAACCTGGGCTCGGTTTCCCAAAAGCATCTTAAGGCTAAGTTCATCGTTAAAACCTTCGTAAGAGCATCGTTAAATCTCCGAGCTGTTTCCCAAAACTATCGTTACTAAAGTTGCACTTGACAACGGTTGTTATATAACGACTGCCTCAGAACTCTTGTAAAACAGCTAACTGCGTCGTTAGATGCTTTTTTGCCCTTCCGCGTGAGTTTATACACAGAAGATCTCTGCTAAACACAAAATCAAGATGTTTATCTGTCTATCTGTGACCGCCGATAACTTCAGAACAAATGTGACTACAAATACAAAGTTGCAATGTCTGCAATTGTTACAAACAAGCAAAGGATATGACAACCGAGATGATTGTATTAAAATATAAATACAGGACAGACACTTCAAAATCTTACATAGTCCTATATTCTATACTTTCTGCATTATTTGTTTTATATTTAGAAGTATAATATATTATACTTGGTACATTTTGAGTGAGTAATTTAGTAATATTTTCTACAAATGAAATACTCTAGTTTTTTGCTGTTGTGTTGAGTGTTAATCGTTTTTTTGATCTTGAGTGTCTACACAATAGAAGACAAAATTAGTGTTTTTCCTATTGACAAGAATGTGGTGTCATATTAAAGAAGAGGTTGTGCTCTTTAAAACTAAGTTAACTTGTACTTGCCATTTGTTCTTTGTTTTTGAGCTATGTCTGTTTGTTTGAAATGTGTGAGAAAATTAGCTCTATCTAGAAAATTCTCAGTAAAAACAGCAGTATTCTACAATTCTATTGGGGTCTAAAGGGTTCAAATGAATGCTTTGCAAAACTCCCTTCAGGTAGAGAATGGAACTGGCCACTCCTCATATATTCTCTGTGTAACCACTTCTGTTCCTGCACCTTAGACCTCAGTTCTTTTTTAAGTTGAGGCTTTTAGGACAGTCCGTTTTTCATTTAAATCCATGTTTTATTTTAAAACATTATTAGGTTTATTTTCTCCCGTTTTAATTTGTATTTTTTGCAAATTTGGAGAATAAAACCCCAACTTTTTGCACCCTATCTCAGCATTTCTCGTTGCCTCCTTGGTTATCCCTAACAGTGTGTATAAGGGGACAGAAGCTTTTGCATTTCATAAATCTGTGCAGTTTCCCATATCCTTACTGAGTTCATTTTCATAGGATTATCAGACACCCATTTCAAATACTTCAACCCACTGGCCAAAACATAATTCAAGTCCAGGGGCAACACATCAGTTGCAGAGCTGAGCTGCCCAATAGTATAGTTTCCTTTTAGGAAGCCCAAGGCCGCTTGCCTTATATGGTAGATAAAGTACATTAATACGGATTCTGGAAACCTTTCCTTTCCAAATTAAAATAGAAAGCAAGCTGAGTTTTTTTTTTTTTACCCCTTTTTCTCCCCAATTGGTAGTTACAGTCTTGTCCCATCGCTGCAACTCCCATATGGACTCAGGAGAGGCGAAGGTCGAGAGCCATGCATCCGAAACACAACACTGCCAAGCAGCACTGCTTCTTGACACACTGCTCGCTTTACCTGGAAGCCAGCCGCACCAATGTGTCAGAGGAAACACCCTACAACTGGCGACCGAAGGCAGCATGCATGCGCCCGGCCCGCCACAAGGAGTCGCTAGAGCGCAATGGGACAAGGACATCCCAGCCGGCCAAACCCTCCCCTAACGACGCTGGGCCAATTGTACGCTACCTCATGGGTCTCCCGGTCGCGGCCAGCTGCGACACAGCCCGGGATCAAACCCGGGTCTGTAGTGACGCCTCAAGCACTGCGATGCAGTGCCTCAGACCGCTGCGCCACTCGGGAGGCCCTGCTCGGAAGTTCTTTAAAGAAAATATTAGGAATTGCAATTTGCAGCACCTGAAATAAATAATTCAGCCTCGGAAGGACATTCATTTTAATTACGTTGACTCTACCCAGTAATGAGACTGGGAGGGTTTGCCATCTCGTTAAATTACCCTCTTATCTTTTCTAACGTTGGAGATTCATTCTTCTTAGACACCTTTTCCAATTTACTTAAGCAGCACCCTCAGCGTTTTTAAGTGAGAGTGGGACCATTTCCACTTATAGCGTCTTTCTAGAGGATTTGAGTCAAAATTCGAAATAGGCACAATTTCAGTTTTTCCCCAATTCACTTTAAAGCCTGAAACTGAACCAAATGCCACCAATAGTTCTAGAAGGGAAAACAAATATTGCTCTGGGTTGGAGAGGTAAAATAATATGTTGTCTGCATACAAAGAAATAACATGAAATCTCCACCTATGTATATTCCTTGAATAACATTAAGCGAGCTGATTATTGAAGCTAAAGGTTCAACCGCAAGAGCAAATACAAAAGATAGGAGTTGTCTTGTTTTGTTCCTCTAAATAAGCTAAAAGGATCCGATATCTGGCCGTTTGTTTTTATAGAGGGCTTTTGGTGATTTATATAATAGTTGATGTAAATGATGTAAATACTTGCCCAAAATTAAATATTTCCAGCACAGCTAACAGGGAAATCCACTCCACTGTATAAAAGGCTTTTTCAGCGTCTACTGATACAACTACATTAGGAGTGTTCAGGCTATGAGTGTGGTAAATCACGTAAAATATGCGGATATTGTCTGAGGTCAACTTCCTTGCATAAATCCTGATACATTTTTGTACAACCGTTTCCAGTCTCTGCACAAAAACTTTAGCAATAATCTTGTAGTCAACCGTTTATAACGAGACTGGACGAAATGAGCCACACAACAGAGGATCCTTATCTTTTTTCTTCAACAGTGTTATAGTAGCTAAACATAGACTCTGGGAGTCAGCTGCTGCCTGGATCATACTCAGTGGGAGTTTTAGAAGCTTGGCTTGGAAGCTTTTATAAAAATGCACTGGAAGTCCATCGCTTCCAGGAGACTTTCCATTTTGTAAGTTATTTATAGCCTTTATCAGTTATTCAGATGTAATAGCTCCATCAAGGTAAGCTTGGTCAAGTTCTGACATGGCAGGGAGACTTTTATCAAGTGATAAATGTCTTGATCAATAAAATATTTGATCTGAACAGGTATTTTCCGACTGATATAGGTCCTGCTAAAAGGATGCATACATTTACCACCTATCACGTTTCAGGAGAAGACCCAGATGCAGACAGTGTCGAAGTAACAAAGGTTTATTACAACACCAGGGGGCAGGCAAACGACAGGTCAATGGCAGGCAGAGGTCAGTAATCCAGATCAGAGTCCAAAAGGTACGGAACGGCAGGCAGTCTCAGGGCAAGCAGAGGTCAATAATCCAGGGTGGTGTGACAAGGTACAGAACGGCAGGCAGGCTCAGGGTCAGGGCAGGCAGAATGGTCCAAACCGGGAAAACAGGAACTAGAGAACAACAGGCGCAAGGGGAAACCCGCTGGTAGGCTTGACGAAACAAAACAAACTGGCAACAGACAAACAGAGAACACAGGTATAAATACACTGGGGATAATGGAGAAGATGGGCAACACCTGGAGGGGGGTGGAGACAATCACAAAGACAGGTGAAACAGATCAGGGTGTGACAACCACCAGCATATATTATTCTGAAAATGGCTCTTTCCTCCTCTTCTTTCCTCATTTGCCAAGTTAGTAATATTACAGCACTCTATCCTTGCTCTGTATTGCTATTTCTGCAGTTTGTGTAGTCAGTGTTATATAGTAGTTTAAGATTTTTTAACTGTTGTAAAGTATTAGGGCTTCTATCTATGCTGTGCTTTTTTTCTAGATCATGAATGTTCTGTTCTAGCTCTTCTATTTGCCTTTTAGCTTTCTTTTTTTGTATAAATGCCTTAACGCTTCCCTTGAAATGGAGCATGTCTCTTGATTTTGATGGGCCTCTAAAAACATGTCAATTTGGATGTCATGCAAGTCGGTAAATTCTCTATCTACTAATAGTAGGGTATTTAAGTGCCTTGTCCTTGATGGTGCCATAGTGGGGTTTAGTTCTATGAAAAAAGACAGGACTGAATGGTCAGAGATAATTATGGACAAGTATTTACATTCAGATCCACTCTCAAACGCAACACATAGCATATTTAGAAAATCTCAAACTCTTGAATTACTTTTTTACAATGATGTTGGCTCCGCCAAGTCCTCACGCATTGGGCAATTCAGATGTATTGTTATGCTTTTATTTTTTATCTCTAGAAATGTGCAACCAAACCCTGGGCCGGTAGATCTATACCGATTTAAAAAATAGAGCAGGTCTTGGTCTAGTACATAGTAATGTCAGAAGTCTAATTCCGAAAATGGACATGATTAGAATATGGGCAAATATGACGAATGCGGACATAATGGTGTTATCAGAAACTTGGCTAAAGAAATCCGTGTCAAATGACTCTTTCTATTGATGACTACACAGTCTTTAAGACCGATCATGTGAGTAAAGGAGGAGTTGAAATTTGTGAAGTCAAAGTAACTCTCTCGATTACCAAAGCCAAATTAATTATTTTCTGTTAAAGTGAACGTGTAAAGGACTCACACATCACTGTAGTCGGCTGTTACAGACCACCCTCTGCTTCAGGAGACACCCTTACCTATCTTTCTGATGACCTTGCAAAAGCTAAATTACTCAGAATTGTTCATTTTAGGAGATCTGAACTGCGACTATCTTACATCTGTATTGGACTCTTTCAACACTAGAACCGCTAAAGCAGTCACTTTGACTGCTCGTGAATTTAAAAAATGTATTGTTAGAATCTTAATATCACAACCAGAACTGGAGTTATAACCAATTTTAAGAGGGCATGTCATTTTTTGAATGTTTTTTTCCCAGTTGCCCCTCCTTCTGCTCCGCTCCGCTCCCCTCAACATTGGAAGGTGCCATGCCCAGTTGATAATCACCCCCATAATTGCCTCGAAACTGAACCTAAACTATACCAAAACTAATTTCACACATATTAAAACAGATTAAATGAATTAAGTAAAATATGATGGGGGAGAAAGCGGGAGAGTGGGTGAATTGATTAGCGAGGGGAAGCGAACGCTGCATAATTATGTTATTGCCAATTGTGAATGAAGAACAGGGCCGGCCATTGTATTGGTATATTATAATTATAATCGCAAAATGGTACAGTGAGGGAAAAATGTATTTGATCCCCTGCTGATTTTGTACGTTTGCCCACTGACAGAGAAATGATCAGTCTATAATTTTAATGGTAGGTTTATTTGAACAGTGAGAGACAAAATAACAACAAAAAAATCCAGAAAAACGCATGTCAAAAATGTTATGAATTGATTTGCATTTTAATGAGGGAAATAAGTATTTGACCCCTCTGCAAAACATGACTTAGTACTTGGTGGCAAAACCCTTGTTGGCAATCACAGAGGTCAGACGTTTCTTGTAGTTGGCCACCAGGTTTGCACACATCTCAGGAGGGATTTTGTTCCACTCCTCTTTGCAGATATTCTCCAAGTCATTAAGGTTTCGAGGCTGACGTTTGGCAACTCGAATCTTCAGCTCCCTCCACAGATTTTCTATGGGATTAAGGTCTGGAGACTGGCTAGGCCACTCCAGGACCTTAATGTGCTTCTTCTTGAGCCACTCCTTTGTTGCCTTGGCCGTGTGTTTTGGGCCATTGTCATGCTGGAATGCCCATCCACGACCCATTTTCAATGCCCTGGCTGAGGGAAGGAGGTTCTCACCCAAGATTTGACGGTACATGGCCCCGTCCATCGTCCCTTTGATGCGGTGAAGTTGTCCTGTCCCCTAAGCAGAAAAACACCCCCAAAGCATAATGTTTCCACCTCCATGTTTGACGGTGGGGATGTTGTTCTTGGGGTCATAGGCAGCATTCCTCCTCCTCCAAACACGGTGAGTTGAGTTGATGCCAAAGAGCTCCATTTTGGTCTCATCTGACCACAACACTTTCACCCAGTTCTCCTTTGAATCATTCAGATGTTCATTGGCAAACTTCAGACGGGCATGTATATGTGCTTTCTTGAGCAGGGGGACCTTGCGGGCGCTGCAGGATTTCAGTCCTTCACGGAGTAGTGTGTTACCAATTGTTTTCTTGGTGACTATGGTCCTAGCTGCCTTGAAATCATTGACAAGATCCTCCCATGTAGTTCTGGGCTGATTCCTCACCGTTCTCATGATCATTGCAACTCCACAAGGTGAGATCTTGCATGGAGCCCCAGGCCTAGGGAGATTGACAGTTATTTTGTGTTTCTTCCTTTTGAGAATAATCGCACCAACTGTTGTCACCTTCTCACCAAGCTGCTTGGCGATGGTCTTGTAGCCCATTCCAGCCTTGTGTAGGTCTACAATCTTGTCCCTGACATCTTTGGAGAGCTCTTTGGTCTTGGCCATGGTGGAGAGTTTGGAATCTTATTGATTGATTGCTTCTGTGGACAGGTGTCTTTTGTACAGGTAACAAGATGAGATTAGAAGCATTCTCTTTAAGAGTGTGCTCCTAATCTCAGCTCGTTACCTGTATAAAAGACACCTGGGAGCCAGAAATCTTTCTGATTGAGAGTGGGTCAAATACTTATTTCCCTCATTAAAATGCAAATCAATTTATAACATTTTTGACATGCATTTTTCTGTTTTTTGTTGTTGTTATTCTGTCTCTCACTGTTCAAGTAAACTACCATTAAAATTATAGACTGATCATTTATTTGTCAGTGGGCAAACGTACAAAATCAGCAGGGGATCAAATACTTTTTTCCCTCACTGTATGTACCGGTATGTTATAGTTTAGGCTTGTTGGAAACATTCAGATGTTGGTCCACAGTAGTGACGATTTTAGCATGTAAATCTTGGTGGGGCAAAAAAATTAAAATTGGGATGCATGCCAGCAAAGCCACTACACAACACAACACTAAACAATACATTAATTGCACTATAACGATGACAAACAGTGCCCACAAACTGTTAGGGCCTACATAAAGCTGTCCCAACAGCAGAGTCCCAACAGCAATCCCAACATTGAACCACTGCTACACCTGGCTATCAGCGGAGCCTTGTCTTGCAGCGAAACAGTTCATTCAGCCTCATTTATTGCCTTTTTAAAAAACATAGCTGATATGGCTGACTTGCTTAAGCAAATGTGGTTTCTACTGACAATTGAGATGTACCGACTATGGCATAAGGGGACAACAAGCGAATGAGAGGCAATCCGTAATTTCGATTAAGACATTAATGAGCGAGCTAGGACAGACGTAGTCAATATAACTATTTGTTTAGCACTTCTGAAATGTACACCGACAGAATTCAGAACATGGGCTGTTCTTACAGTGTTCTCCCTGTACACCAAGTCAGAACTGTAGGATAAATAAAGGGGGCATATAAGCTGACAATATTAGATGATTACCTTTCTCTAAATCAGGTTATAGGCTACATGTGCACCACCAAGTCAGAACAGTAGGTGAAATTAAGAGGGGAAAATAGACCAAATTATTAGGGTGAGGCACATGGGCTACAGACAGCTTACTACACAACATACACCTAGTATTAATATCTTAGCTACAGTATACATATCTCCCTGGCATATTACATAATTTATGCAGCAGCATACAATACATTTTTGGACTCACCTTGTTGTGCTGTGCTCACTTGAACAGGAAGGTGGCGCGGCGGTCCTTCATGGGCAAATGTTGTTATCAAAGTCTGGCATTCTCTGGATTTATGGTGCTTTCAAGACAACTGGGTACCCCGAAAAAAACAAGGTTGAATCATGACGACGTCAGTGATCTTCAGGTCGTAGCTCTAGAAAGAGGCCCGAGTTCCGGATTTACAATTCCGAGTTGGATGACCGTTCAAAACACATTTTCCCAGTCGGAGCTCGTTTTCTCCCAGAGTTCCCAGTTGTCTTGAACTCACTGAAGTCACGTTTTTGCAGATCCAAGTTAACAGTTGTTTTGAGCGCGGCACAAATCATGCTTCATTGACAG